TGACTCTCTGCGTGGGCTCGAGCGGCTTTTCCTCTCCTTCAGTCCGCCTGGCAAGAGCTCGTAGCGGGAAAGGGGTGGCCTGGCTCGCAGCGTCCTGACGACGCCGTGCTAGAAGAGCAGGCTGCCGCCTCAGAAAGTTTGGAGGAGGAGGAGGAGGTCGAGGTCTTCCGTGCACGGCGAGGTAGCCCGGGAGGCAGAACGGCAGCGCGCGGGAAGGCAGTTCAGCTCCTCACCGGTCCGAGCGCAGAGCATGGGCTAAAAACGATGTCCCTCTCTCGCGTCGAAAATCCTTGCTTTCTGCTGTCTCTGTTTGTCTTCCAAGCAATATTTATCCTGATACTTTACCGAGGTGGACCTTCAAGTGTGTTCCGTGGGTTTTTAGACCCACATCAGGTTCAGGATTACTCAAAAACTCACGATGTGTACACAAACCTCAGCTTGTTTACCCAAGCTCCTAACGAAGAAGCTATGCCGTACTGCTCCGTGCAGTCTCCAATATTCGGTAGGTATAAACCGGTGGTGTTTGAAATAGCTGCTTTGGTATCTGATTGCGCTCAACACTTTGTAAATCTAGGTTGTGTATTTTTCAAGCTTTTCCACTTTAAAAGCGGTATACTGATGTAATACTTACACTGACAAAACTTTATTGTGTTAATTAACTCATTTTAATTGGTTATACAATGAAAAGTATTTTACTGACCTGAAAACTTACCGTATTAAGGCTTTGGCTACATAGCGATTGTAGAACACGAGTGAAAAACAGTGCATGGTGTTAATACCAAGTTAGTAACGCCCTTTTTTTTTTTTCTTTGGTGGTCCTGTATAAAATGTGCCAACAGTTGTACTTTGGTAACTGCGTAATTTTGACCTCTGACTTACTGTAACTCCTGGGTTCTTTGTCTCAACCTTGTATCAAGCCTATAGTCTAATATAGATTGATTAAGTTGGCTTTAAATATCATTTGTATGAGAATGTAGCTTGGCACCTTGCTCTTCATGGTGATCTTTTTGGCCTATGATTGTTATGTGTCCTTTAGACTTAGAAACTTCTCCTTTAGACTTGAAAGTCTGGTCACAGCTTAATTTGTATTTACACTAGGACCACATCAGAGCTGAGCCTAGAAGTGGCATTAATCCAGCTATTCCACTGCTAAAACAGTTGAGAAACTTTGAAGTAAATACAAAGTCAAACCCATAAAACAAGTTTGCTGGTAGTGATGTGGTGCGCCTCTGATAACAGTGAATCTGTTTCTCTTAGCCAGCCAAGAATGGTTGAGTTCTGTAAGCATGTGCTTACAGATGGTTTGGGGATGCCTGCTGAGTACTGTGTAGTAAGTTACCCTCATCTGCATGGGTTTCTACATTTCTAAGTCTTGCATATAACTAGTCTGGGAGCACTACTTAATAGTTGCCCTGCTGTTCCAGGAGAGCTGGTCACTGCACGTGGAGCACAGGAAAGAGCAAATGGCTGACCTCGGTTCACAGGTGGAAGTATGGTGGAAGGCCAGGGCTGGGGCTACTCTTGTGTCAAGTTGCTTACTGAGGTTAACGAACTTTGCTGGGATGCTTTGGATGAGCCTTGTTAGACTGCAGTCTTTGTAATCATGCTTGTTCTGTTGGGAAGTTTTCTTCGTTCCTCTGTTGCTGAAGTTAAATATGTGCAGTATGTAAGATGAAATTGTGTGATAACTTTTGGGTATGTGCTTCAGCATTTCCCTTGGAAACAGCTCTACTAAGCAAATACTGAAACACTAATAGTACTGAACCTTTTTGCATAGGTGCCAGTTGTAATGGTCTTAGTGTGGTCTCTCTTCATTACTAGCTACAGTCCCTCAGTTCTTTTAGGAAGCTACAATTTGTGTTTCCAACTTCACTGTTTTATTTGAAAAAGCACAGCAGAAATGTGCCTGCACCCTGCCTGTCTCCCCTACTGACGAGAATCCGCTGTCCTGGAAAAGAGTCAAATCAGACATCTTTGGTCTTGGGGGAGGGGGGGCGGGGAGGGAGAAAACCAAACCTAGGTGCAACTCTGTGCAGCTTGAGATAAGCAAGAGCAGTGACGTATATGGAGGAGGCAGATGCAGAGTAAAATTACACTAATCAGTGCTCTTAGAGCCGTGCAATCTTTTTAAGACCTCTTCTGCCCATGCCTGAGAGTGCTGAGAACAGAGGGGATTGGCCTGCATGTGGTACTTCAGAGCTAAAATGAAAACATAATATTAGTTATAGACAGAAACAAGCAGTAAAGTTGACTGGGAGAAAAAAAAACATGAGGCAAAGTAACTGTGGAAGTTTTACTGCATAAAAAATTGAAGTTGAGCATTTGAAGCATTGTTGCTGTGAAACAAATCATTTGGAGCATTGATACGGATTCAGCTTAATAAAAATGAGCGCTCTGCTACAACTTAATTTTTACTTGGTGATAATTCCCTTTAAATATAAGAAGTAAATTATTCCTTCTGGTGTTACTATATGCCAGCCTCTTCGGGGTGTTTTTGGGGTTCTGCTCCCCCATGTCCCCTTTCCCTTCCCCCCTCCAGAAATGCGTACTACTCTGCAAGGTACTTGCCCTTTGTTTTGTATGCAATGGGCACATATGACTAGATATATAAATACTTTATAAATGTCTTGATTGGTTGTTACCATCTCTCATGGGAATGATCTCTCTTGGAAGCATTATATCAGAGAGAACGATGCCTTTTAATATTAATTTCATAAACTCCATTAAATGAGATTTCAAATCAATTCTTGAGGACTCCGGTCTCCAGTGCAGAGCTGGTAATAAGTCACTGTGTCCACTCCAAAGCGTGTTAAAGTAACTGGAAGAATGCCAAATGGCTTAAATGGTTTCTGCATCAGGGCTTTTATGAAGCGCACCACTTTTTCCACTTATGTATCTAGTAGATCATTTTGATAACTGTTTAAATGTAAGATCAGCTTGCAGCTCATCTTTTTCCTGCCTCCTGAATCTACAGCATCTTGGTTCTTCCAGGGCTGTGGCGTAAGAATTAAAGTATAATTGCTAAACCTCTCTGCCTTGGAGGAATTAGGCTCTTGCTGACTAATGTTACTTTTTTAACGCCTAGAGTGTCCCTTGAACCTTTTGTGACTGACAACTTGAAAAACATTGTACTAGATAGTCAGCGTCTTCATTAATATCGTGAATAAATTACTCAAGTTCTCTTAAAAGTTAAAGTTTCTACATAACCAGTTGTTGGTTTCCTCCTTTGTTTTTGGAAAAAAAAATGTTTATACGCTAGAGTTGTGCTTACTCACACTTAACTAAGTAGCTTAACGACTAAGTAGCATTTAAATTCAAAATCTGACTTTCTCATGTTGCACACAAGAGGTGTTGTTTGTTTCGGTTCATCTTTTCCCCTTACTAGGGGAAGCTTGATGCTAGAAGACTCAGGTAGTTTTGGGTTTTGTTTTGGTTTGTTTTTCTTTTTTAAGAGGCACCTTACTTCATGTATAGTTTGTGCTGAACAAGTTGGTTTGGCCCTTGAGGACTTCACGAGTTGCAAGTTCTGTCTGTAACACTGCTGTTTTAAGGATGCTCATGCGATGGAAGAGGTTTTTTCTGAGCCCTTCTTACAGTAGTTAATCCCTTTCACTCCCATCTGTCATAACCTTTTCATGAGTGTGACCATCTGTTGTGGTAATGAGTAGCTCCTGCTGCATTTCCTAATGGATGCTCTCCTACAAGAGTTTCTTCTGGATTTAAAGAGAAAGAAAAAGGTAGTAATGCTGAGATTTATTTTCAGCTGCAGTTGAGACAGCCTTGTATTCGGTCATTAGAAACTGGTGCTTAAATTAAGGCTGTTGGTCTGGTTTTTTTTTCTTTCATTCAAACAGTGGTAGAATTTTACAAATATGACTGTTAATGTAGTGTGTGGTGCTGCGCTTTCTCAGTGAGGTGTTCATTCGTGCTGCCGTTCCTGTTTGTTTAGCTCATGTAAGTCCTGCTTATTCTGGTTGAACTTGGTAATTATAGCTGCTAACTCTAAATGTCTAGCAAGGAGCTCAGAAGTCATGCCGTTTCTTTCTTAAGATGGGATAGATCTAGTCAAAATCAATAGATCCTCCTGATACAAAAATGTATTGCCTGGAAAGTAAAGCAAGTGGGGAGTATGCTGTCACTGGCACCAGCTAGCAGTACAGACAGACAGTTGTGAGTTTTAGCTCTACACGCTGAAGTTTCATTAAATGCCCTCTGTGTGATGGAACAGGCACGGAAAGAGTTTAGGAACCAGGCTATGGAGAAATTGCTTGGACACTTCAGGGTGTTGATTCTGTACCTTGTCTGAATTGGGATCCTGTGCTTTCCAGCATGTCTGAGATGGGCTTGTCCTCCTTTCCCAAAGCTACGCTTTAGCAGTTTTATTTTTTCCTATTTTGTCCAGCCTGCAACTGCTCTGTTCACATCTGGGGTTTAACTGGATTGCAGTGCATTATTAGCCTTTTGTTAGTTGGGTAGGAAGGAGACCAGAGAGACAGAATTTAGTTTATAGCCAAGGAGTGTAGGGCAGCCAGCGGTTTTGGGGATATAAGTCACAGACTAACTTCCTTTTTCTGTGCTTCCTTGGCATGTGTTAGATTGAGTTGCTGAGCTGAGCTGTTTGAGGTATGGAGCCAGGCAGCTCAGGAGCTCATGACATCTTGAAAAACCTGAAAAATACAGATATTACCCTCATGAATTGTATGATTGGGTACATGGAAGGAGACAACAGGAGTGAAACCGTTGCACGTTATTTTACTCATACCCTTATGTCCAAATTTAGATTTGATTTTTTTGGAATTTAAGGATTATCGCTACAGATCTTACTCTGCAATTATAGAAAATAAAACTGCCTTTGTGAGAGAACAAAAGGGATTAATTCCCTTTCTTGTATTTTCCTTGGAGCAATGATCTGGAGTTGAAATCCAATCTGAATATAACATTTCTTTAGCAAGCTCCACTTGTCATCAAATCAGTGGTTAATGGTGCTTTAGTTAAAAGATCTGATAATCGGGAAGTTCATAAATCTAAAAAGCAGCATAAATTATAGGTTAAAAACAATGTTGGACTGGAGTGTGGTGGTCTTAAAGGCAGAACAGGAAACTGTCTGCATAGAAGTAGGTAATAACATCATAAAATCTTAATGATAAATGTGACCTAGATTCATGGAGCCACAGCATGAGTCTCTGAAGAACTACTCTCCTGTTGCAGGTACAAAAGCATGGCAACGTACTCTGGTTTCCTACTGAGGCTAGCACAGTCAGAATCAAATTCCCCCTGTGTTTTAGATACTTAGGGAAGGATTGAAAAGTGATCCTTAAGAGTCAGCTATTGCAAGATGACAAGCAAAGTTCAGGTTTTCCTTTTAAAAACAAACAAAAACCAACCAACAAAAGCAAACCATGAAGTGGGATTCACAGGCGCTAGACCTTTTTGAGAGTGTGAGGAATGGGATCCGTGGCCGTTCAGACCGACCTTCAGGAAATGCCATTATGTGTGTTCCTTGCGGAGGAAAAGGAGACAGCGGGTATAGGTTTGCCCATCAGAAATGTGAAGTATACCAACTTCCACATACTAGCAAAATGTTTCCCTGTTCTGAATGGACAACTTGAATCTTAGGCCGAATTTAGTCCCTAAGCCTTGTTAGTGCTCCAAAAACCCCAAACAAAACCACGGAGGGATGTTGCTTCCTTCTGTGTCAGTTAAACAGGATGTGGGTGAACACGGGCTCAATGTTTTTTGTTAGAAATACAGTAGAGACTTGAATGTAGGATGGGCTGTAAGACTTACCTAGTGGACTCACCTGCTTAAATATTTAATTATACTTAAGACACACCTGTACCTTTCCCTGCTCAAATGAAAGCTACTAAACACCAGGCCTCAATATTTGCTCTTCTTTCTCAGGCTTAATGATCAGAAGCTTTTTGAGAGAATTTATTTCAGTGGTTTAAGAAGGAGTCTGACTTACAAGATACTGAAAACTTGCTTTAAGACGGCCATAGGAATAGCTGTGAGCCTGGACGGAAAAGAAAAACTTACTTATGGCTATTTAAAAAACAAACCCAAACCAAAACCCAAAAAGTTGCCTCATAGGCTTCTGGTGACAAAAAAAAATATTTTGTCTTTGGGTAGTATGGCCTGCAGAGAATTGTTGGTCCTACTTAGAGCTGTCATTGGAAATTGTCAGCTTTTAAGTGTGATTTAAATAAGGGTTTCTTCCTAGTTCATTTAAGTAATAGATTTTAATCATGTTCTACATTTGTGCTTTATTTCCTTAGAAGCTGATAGTGGTTGGAAACCATTAAGACACACTGATTTGTGTATAAATATAACTCTTCTGCTGGTTCTAGAACCTTTTCTCACTACCCAGGAGAATAGGCATTTAAATAATTACAGAATTTGTTTGTTCATATTGTTACAAAGTGAGACTTGCATTAAAACGGTGATTGATGCTTTATATTGATTCTTACTTGTGACTTGTCAAGCTTTTTCCATCTGAAGAATGGAAGAATTAAAATAAAAATGTAGAATTATTTTTATTAATTAGGTAAAAACTGTTAAACATACTGGATATGTTTTGCATTTAAAATCAAGGTACTGAGTAGAGTAACTATCACATGTAGTTTCTTTTGTGGCCTTGCGCCTGTTGCTGAAAATACATATCATCTCCCATCTTCCTTTTCAGTTCTGTCAGCTGCTTCTCTCAAAATTTTGAAGTACTGCCTGTTTATCGCTGTGTATCACATGCCCTTGTGGCATGTGATTATAACATCTAACTGAACTTGAAACTTCTTTCACGATAAAGCTAACATGTCCTAAAGCGTTTGTATTCATCCAGGCTTTAAACTATTTCTTACCAACCCTGCTGAATATCCTTTTGGACACCTTTGTCCTTGAATCTCCTCTGAAAGAGGCTGAAGAGACTTTTTCCATATGGGTAGCAAAAGCAGCTATGTCTATCCGTCTTGATTCACTGTAAGAATAGCGTTGAAAATGAATACATTTATTCAGGGTTCCCACCTAAGTGACAGAAGGTTTGCTCGTGTAGTAGGCAGCCAATACCAGGAAGAAGCACGCTGTGCAAGAGCCCAGTGAGGCTTGCTGGCTGTGTCGGGACTTGGGGTGCCTCTCTGGCAGGTCGCCTGGTGCTGAGCCCGGCACCCCTCAGTGTGGAGCTGTGGGGAGGTGACCAGCAGGCAGTGGTGGAGTTCATCATGTGGGCACATCTGTGTGGCGTTGTTAACTGTTCTGTGCTAGGGTAGGGCTGGTGTCTTTAAGTAGTAAACGTATGTAGATAATCTGATAGGTTTCACTGGGGTTTGAGAAACATTACTGATCTTACTTCTTTTTTTTCCCCTGTTTCTCCTTACAGTTGGTCCGCTAACCATCACCTTCAGGGTGCTCCCTAGTGAGAGAATGATCATCAAAAAAAATCCTTTTGTTCAGTCTGGTGGACGCTACAGGCCACCTCACTGCTTGGCCCGCTACAAATCAGCCATCCTTGTAGCCTACAGGAACCAGGAGAAGTACCTTCACCATCTTCTCTACTATATTCATCCTTTCTTGCAGCGCCAGCAGCTCAGTTATAGTATCTACCTGATTCAGCAGGTAAATCTAAATCGTATGTGCCTGGTGGTGTAGCTGAGCTTCCCAGTTAAGGGTTCAGATCTGACCAAGAAATGTGAATCTTCTAACATGGAAGTATGGCTTTATGCATGGGTTTCAAGCAGGTCAGGTACATGCTGTCCCTCCTCCATGGCTGCTAATCATTGAAATATCATACCACTTGTTGAGATAATCATTCTGCTATTGATTTGGTTCTGGCTTGGGGTTTTTTTGGTTTTTGTTTTTTTTTTTCTTCTAGAGGGATAAAGTTGTCATTAAGTGGTAACTTGTATTCTCAGCTGTACAAGAGCTCAGTGTGGTTTGTCTGTAGCTTGTCAGTGTGGCTACTGAGCAAAACTGTTGAGACTGAATGCTAAAGTGAAGTTGGATGTTTTTAGTCTGTGTCAAATAAAAATATCTGGTGTGACCCTGCTGTGGGGGCAGCCTGTGAAGGCCAAACAGCCATTTTTAACTAACGAGGACAGGTGTTGCAAAAGATCAGTGGTAAGAGAGCAAGTTTTGGATTCATTAATTAAAACTGATAGTTGATTGGAGGGAAAAGAAGCTTTTTGGTTTAACCAAGATATTTTTCTTTTTTTTTTTTTTTTTTTTCCCCCCCCTTCATTTCTAAGCTTTAAGTAGTCATCAGGGCAGAAGTGTTGATGTGCATATGTACATCTGAGGATTGACTTACTGGTCTCATAAAATTAAGTCAGCCTTCTTCAAGTGCCCATGGTGTGTAGCCCATGACACAGCAAAGCTTACAATTGCTGAGAATATTGTGAAGAGAATAGGTGAAATTTTCAGAGTTTGGGGCATGAAATTTACAGCCAGTATTGATTCATTCCAGTGTCATTCAGCTGAATAAGGCATTTTTACTAACATAAATTTTAATTATAGTCGTTGTTTTGGTGAAGAAATGCATTTTTTTTCTTTTCCAGGTGGGGAATGGTACATTTAACCGAGCAAAGCTGCTTAATGTTGGTGTCCGGGAAGCCCTGAAGGACGAAGACTGGGACTGCCTTCTCCTGCACGACGTCGACCTCGTACCAGAGAACGATTATAATCTGTATGTTTGCGATGAATACTATCCCAAGCATATGGCTAGTGCCATGGATAAGTTTCAGTACACGTAAGTGCCTCCATTTGCTTTGGACGTGTGCATTTTAATTGGTTCACTTTCTGCATAGAAAGTATGGTGGGGACAGTGAAAGAGACAGCCTTTAAGAGGGTTCCTGTTTGTAGTTTTGTAGTAGTGAGTTCCCCAGAAAAGGGTATTCTTGACCTAAGCGTGCAATCTTGAACAGTTCCTTGTCTGCAGTTCCCTGTTCCGCTGTTAGCTCAGCTTGGCAAACGACTGGCAGATTTCTGTTTGCCTTTCCTTCCAGAATAAAAATAGAGGGTGGGAATTACTGGATGATGTGGAGGATGTGCAATAGAACGCAGGGATTTTGAACTGACCCAAGATGTGGACTTCAAAACCAACTTTACTTTGGTCTAAAGGGGGGAGGTGGGGGAACGATGGGGGGATGGAACATGATTGGAATTACATGGGTTTGGGTATTTTGGGTTTTGGCAGTGTCTGTAAGATGCATGATGAATATATGTGTGACTTGAATCACATTGTTAGTTTGTGGAGGACTGGTATTACCCTTCAATATTGGTGTTTTTTTTCTCCTTTCTCATTTAGTCTGCCATATAAGTCCTTTTTTGGGGGTGTATCTGCTCTGACTCCAGAACATTACATGAAGATGAATGGGTTTCCAAACACATATTGGGGAAGCGGTGGCGAAAATGACGACATTGCTACAAGGTACTAAGGCACAGGACAGGCTTAAAATAGAACCAAGCTGGCTGATGAAACACATAGCATTACCCTAAGAAAGGAACTAAAATGTTGTTCCTTAATGTGCTTGCAGTACCATTATAATCCAAAATGCTATTGGGAATGGTTAATGTCAGAAGGTGCTCAGAATCTATGAATCCAGTCATTGTGTGCTGGGAGGACAAAGCTTTCCTCAGACTCTGGAGGGTAGAAGGTTACTTCACATCCTTGGACCTTCAGTTGCTCTGGAGTACGTCCAAGGGGTTATAACCACCAGTAGTTGACAAGTGACTTCCATTGACGTGAACAGCCCCAAGGAAAGGAAGGAATCTGCAGTCTTGACAAATAAGAAACCCAAGAAGGTGCTTACTGATTCTCGGGCACTTGGGAATTTAAGTTAAGTGCACCTAGGTTGCTCCAGGTAGTACCTAGTCAGCAATATCTGGAATTAAGGAACAGAAGGAATTATAACTTCTGTCTTCAGTGCTGGGTGATGGAGAAGCCGGTGTACTATTTGTCAGTCGGTGACAGCAAGATCTGATGTTTTTTTCTTGTACTTTGTTGCCATGGCAGCAGCATGCTATAGAAGTGAAAGTGAATACAATGAGTTTAGTTCCAGGTACGCTGCCTAATGCGAATTCTTCAAGTACAAAATCATGGCTGTAGCTTCTTTATTTATTCAGCTTTGTAGCTGCGCTGTGCACCTTCATCATCCTGCACTGAGGCAAGCTCGTGGGGAGTTTATAAAACTAAACTGACAATAAAGCCCTTGTGTGGGGTTTTGGTATTTTTTTTTTTGGTCTTGCACAGTGTGACAAGTTGCACAGTTTCGGTAGAATGTTCTGTTCGAGGACTGTAGGAGTTTTTACAAAGCAGTATTGTTCTGGGAATTGAAAGTCAGATTTAACATAGAATTCCTCCTTTTCCTTTCAGAGAAAGCTAACTAAAGGGTGTATGATTGTTTAAAGATCCAGCATTTACTAAAGGAATGGAATGCTAGGAAAACAGATCTTTAAATCAAATGCTACAGTGCGGGTCTGTTCTGCTGTTCTTAGTACAGCTTAGGCATCCAATGGGGTTTTCAGGACCAGTGGCAGAGTCATTCCAGCTATGCGTAAGAGTGCACTTTCTTACAGAAATCTCTTAAGGCAAGTGGGTTATGTAGATCCCAAAATAGCCCTTTCTTGAAGGGAAGTAAATAATGTGTTGTTTCCCTGAAAACTTACACTAATGATTAGCAATGTTGTGGCCCACAGGTACACAGAGGCCACGGACAGTGCCTGTTAATGATTTATTCACATACTGAAGTCCCAACCTGCAGAAGTTAGGAATGAGCTGGCTGGTTCTGAATGGCCAGCTTGATGCACCTACTGGGGTTTGGATTTTAGGAGGTGCTCAAGCACTTCTTACCATGTAGCAATAAAATCAATTAGCATTTGAAACTGGACAGTGAAATGTCAAAAAAAAAAAAAAAAGCCCGGGGAAAAATTTTTTGTTTTTTTTTTTTTTTTTTTTTTTTTTGCTGGGATACTGCTTATTCAAGCAGAGTTAGTGGAAAAAACCTGCTGGCTGCTACTTATGGCTGGCAGACTTCAGTACCCTGTAATATTAGTCCTAGCAAACACCAGGATCTACCTTCTATTAGAAGAAAATGCTGCTCTAATTGGAACTGCTTATGTGTTAACATTATCAACTACAGGAAGGTCTGTTGGGTGGTTACGTAACAGTAAATGAATGTATTAACTGGTTCACATTATGGCTTTAGTTTAATCTTGCAATGCAAAAACTGTAACAGCAATGCTAGTTTAGCGTTCTTGCTTTTTTTGATTGAATGTGCAATGTTCAGAAAACAAGAAACCTTGTCTAAAATGCAGCCTGAAATAATAGTTATGTCGTACTGTCAATGAAGTGTTGTAATCATTTGATGGCTCTAGACTAACAAATATTTTCAGTTCTGTAGCCTCTTTCTC